CTGACGTTTCGGGTCAAAGGGTCCAGACCCGAAATGTCAGCTTTCCTGCTCCTCTGCTGCCTGGCCTGCTGTGTTCATCCAGCTCCACACCTTGTTATCTCAGCTTCCTGTCATGGACAAATCTCTCACAAAGACCTGAGAGAGAAGATCTTCTCGTTCCTTCTTCATACTAACAGAACTGCAAGATAAAGTATGTGTTGCAGGGCTGGCAAAAATCATGTATTGCAAAATATATCACTAACAGAAAACAAACGACTACACACTACATTACCAAACACAAATCTTCATAAGATTGTTCACTTATTACTATCGAAAAAGAATTTAACACAAGCAAAACCAAGGAAGAAACATTGGACAATTTTAGTAAGTGGTTCGAGTACAAATACCAATAAAATCTTTAGTATAAGCAGAGCTCAACATTAGAAGATATTTCAGGCATTGATTCACTTCACAACATCATTAGTAAGCTAAAACAACTGTGACTAAATAATTAATTGGCTACGGAGGTGCATCAGGACACCCAGAAGACTCAAAAAGGTGCCAAGAGTGGAAGTTTTTTCCTGTTTTATTGATAGCTTTAAACTTTCTGGGACAAAATTGGGGCTTTTAATTATTGGATGGTTAAGGGTTGCTCCTATGTCTTAATATATAATAAAAGGGTGAAGAGTGAAAGTCTTTTTTTGGCAGTAAAACAGTGAACCGGTAACCAGAGGTATAGATTCCAGGTCATCACTAGAAGAATGAAGGGCAACTCTCTAAAAACCTATCTTCATCCTGAACCTTTAGCGAAGCAAAATGCCATGATGCTCTTCACAGGATTGTCAGTGGAAGACTTACATTGAGCCACACAAAGACAAGGATGTTTAAAAAAAAAAGATTGGTCACAAAACTGGGTTTTAAGGATCCTTCATGACGATAAGACTAAGATTAGGCATACACAAGAGGTTTAATAAGAGCAGAGAAACCTTGGACAGTTGGAGGATGTTAGATAGACAGGGAGGGGCAAGGAAACAGACTTGAAAACCAAGGATCAAAATGCTAAAGCCAGAGCATAAAATGCTTAGCCACAAATACCGCTATGGGAACTTCTTCGGGGAAGGCACTGGACTATAGAAACCCCAAGCAGGGAAACAGGTCATTTGGCCCAACAACATCCCACCCAGACCCACCCCACTACCCCATACTTCCCATGGCTAATGCACCTAACCTACACATCCTTGAACACTATGGGGCAATTTAGCATGGCCAATCCACCTAACTTGGATATATCTTTGGACTGTGGGAGGAAACCAGAGCACCTGAAAACCCAGACAACAAGGTGCAGGGCTGGATGAACACAGCAGGCCAAGCAGCATCATAGGAGCAGAGAGGCTGACGTTTCGGGCCTAGACCCTTCATCAGAAAAGGGGGAGGGGAAGGGGGTTCTGAAATAAATAGGGAGAGAGTGGGAGGTGGATAGAAGATGGATAGAGGAGAGGATAGGTGGAGAGGAAACAAACAGGTCGAAGAGGCGGGGATGGGGCCAGTAAAGGTGAGTGTAGGTGGGGAGTTAGGGAGGGGATTGGTCAGTCCAGGGAGGATGGACAGGTCAAGGGGGCGGATGAGGTTAGTCGGTAGGAGATGGAGGTGCGGCTTGAGGTGGGAGGAGGAAAAACAGGTTAGGGAGGCAGGGACGAGCTGGACTGGTTTTGGGATGCGGTAGGGGGAGGGGAAACTTGTGAAAACCCACACAGTCACAGGGAGAATGTGTGGATTTTGCACTGTCACCTGTGGCTGGAATCGAACCTGGGTCCCTGGTGCTATGAAGCAGCAGTGCTAACCACTGTGCCACCGAGTCGATTAGTGGCATTATCACCAGAATATTAGCCCGGAGACCCAGAGAGTGTTCCGGGGACAAGGGTTCAAATCCTACCATGGCAGATAGTGAGGTCTGAATTTTAAAAAGTAAAATCTGGAATTAAGAGTCTACTGATAGCCACAAAACCATTGCCGAGTGTTGGAAAAATCCCATCTGGTTCATAAACATTCTTCAGGGAAGGAGCATGCCATCCTTACCTAGTCTGGCCTATGCGACTCCAGACCCAAAGCAATGACGTTAACTCTTAACTGGTCTTTGGGATGGGCAATAAATGCTGGCCTAGCCAACGATGCCTACAATCCATGAAAGTGTGTTTTATTCAATCTGAATGATCAAAACTAATAACTGAAGAGTTAGCACCAACAAAGGTGCTATAGGTTGAATAGCATCAGGTATGCTGTAAACCATGGATTTACAAGCCATCAAGGTACTAATTCAGTGTTTAAACTTAGTTTGTCTTTTAATTTGTATGTAAAAGCAACTTCAGAGTTATAGTAATTAAAAACATTCAGCTAGTGCTACTGTTTCCAAATAATGCCAAAGAACCTTGGCTGGAAAGTTGTTACATAGAAAAGGAGCATATCAGGTACATCTATAATGAGCTTCACAATCAAACATTCTACCATCATTTATGATCTAGACATTTGCACTAAGAATATCAAGAAGATACGGACCTTTCCGTAGGCATAGATTAGTATGGGTCAAATTAATTACCTTTTCCCAATATATCAAACAGAGTTTAATGAGTTTCAATGCTAAAAAGCTTCAGAAATAGCCGATAAAGATTTGGCTTTACAATATCGATTTGTGTTACCGGGGTCACTCCAGTCAACAAATTTATCTTTGGTAACCAAAAGGTGACAACATACTGCAATCATGCCAGAAACATTTAGATTAAGGCTACAAATAAGCCACCTTTTAGCTTCAAACTTGATCATCAAGTTACCTGTACTTGTATTGCTTCCAATGTTGTTCATTGCAGATGGCACCGATGCAGATGTATGCAGAGGCAAATGTCCATTCTCACAGGTCATTGGCTTCTCCTGCCAAGCAGGGACAGTTATGCACATACTGCTATCTGCTCGACTTTGCCATTCATTTAGCTTGTCTTCAACATTCTGCCTTTGATTTTGGTTGTACACTCCTGTGTAAATAGAGTCTGCTGGGCTCACATTTTGCGAGCTATAGTTGGTTGACATGCGTTCCTCCAAGTGGGTTAGCCATAAGGCCAGAGAACTCCGGTCATCCAGTGATGTGGCAGGATGGATTAGTGCATAGGATAACAGCTGTCTACTCTCTTCAATGAAGAGGTTGCTATCGATGGAATAGGCCAGCACCTTCTGCAGCAGTTTCATATATTCTGACTTTGCCTCCACATTCCCAGGCTGAAGTAAAGGAAGATGGGAAAGCAATTGCAGAACAACCTTTTCCTTTGGATCCTGATGCCATTGGCTGATGAAAGCTACAAAACAAATAAAAGAAAATTCAAGTCATTCGAAATAAAGCTGTTGTTATTTATTAACTTTTCACTACCTTTCATTCACTCTCAAATTACATGCACCATTGGCTCACATATGCAAAAAGGCTATATTTATCTGACAAATTTAAGTTTCTGTATAAAATAAAACAGGACTCTGGATCAGTGTTATCTGTTAAAATTAATATGGAGATTTTTATTCCTCTGCCCTTTTCACTGTGGTGCTGCAAATTATTTTTGAGTGCTCATGCAATTCTCTTTCAGAGGTCTTTAACGAATCTGCTTCCATCACCCTTACACACAGTGCATTCCAGATTTAAACCCCTTGTAGCGTTAAGAAAAGATTTATTTCATGTTGCCTTTTTTCTTTTCCCATTCACCTCAAATCTGATTTCTGGCTCTCAAACCTTCCACTAACTGGAAGGGTCGCTCCATCCACTAACATTTCCTTCCAATTTTGAACACTAATCAAATTTCCTCAACTTCCTCTAAAGACGACAGGCCAGCTTCTCCAATCCATGCAGTTAACTACAGTTCTTTACTTCTGGAACTATTCTTGTCACTTTTTTTTTTAAAAACACTGTTTTGAATACATTTACAACCTTTTAAAAATGAAGTGACCAGAGCTGAACACAATACTCCAGTTGAGGACAATCAGCATTTTAAAGACAGACGCTCACCACAACTTCCATACCTTTGTACACTAGGGCTTTATAAATAAAGTCCAAGATCCCATAAGCCATATTAACCAATTTTGCAAACTGCATTGTCAGTACTGTGTTCATGTGTACTCCTCGATCTCTATGCTCCTGTGGCCATATATTCTTGATCTTCCTGCCAAAATACCTCACTTTACATTTCTCAGCATTAAAAGTCATCTGTCCAGTTATTCCACTCAACTCATTAGACCTCAAGAAAGTATATCACTGTTGTCACACAGTTCACAATACTTCCAAGTTTGGTGAGATAGCAAATTTTGAAATTGCTCTCCACTCATTTAAGCATAAGCCATTAATACTAAGTTTAACTATGGTCCTGGCACCGGACCCCAAGGAATCCCTCACCATACCTTCTTTCAGCCTAGGAAACCAGTCACCACTATTGTTCCCATTGTTCATCCAACTGTGTATCCAAGCCATCATCATTCCTTTATTTCCATGGGGTTTGACTTCTGACCAGAAAAATACTTGTGACATGTTATGAAATGTCATTTGGAAGTCTATGTGCACTACTTCAATCACATTACCTTCAAAAGACCTTCTCATGTCATCAAGAAACTCAAGCAGGCTAGTTAACACAATTGACCTTTACAAAATCCATGCTGGCTTTCTCTAATTAGTCCATATTCAACCAAGTGACTGCTAATTGCATTGATGGATTTTTAGAACTAATAATCCAGGACAAAATTAAACATTGATTTTTTAAGCTTGTGTATCCCTCATCCAGTAATCTATTTTGTGTCACACTAAACAGTGAGCTCCCAGGGAAGTTTCTGCTGTCTGTCTATTGGTGGGAGGCTGGAAAAGCACTAGATCAGACAGAATCCGAGGTGCAAAAAACTCAACGTTTCGGGCCGAAACCCTTTGTCAGGACTCTTCTGCTGTGTCAGGCTAGCTTCTCTCTATTAGGACTAAGCTGTTAGCTGTTTAGTAATATATAGACATGCAAGTATGAGGATGAAATAGAAAATATGACAGCAGACTACAGATTAAAGTGAAGGAAAACCAATGAGATCTCTACACACTGGAGGGAAAATTAAAGACTATCATTTTGATCAGTATTTTAATTATCCCCTCAAATTAGCGCAGGCTCATGTCAAAATAATGCAAATTGATTAAAAGCACAAAACTCAAAGCCACGCTTCAGTGGCTGAGGGCTGGCTTTTTCTTGGCCAGGTAAGTTTTGAACTGCAGGGGAGATGAATTAAAACAACCAGTCTTAAACTAACTGAATCAAGCCCTTATCAGAGAACGCCAAAACTTGAAGGTAAACGGATGAACATCCTTGGGGTTATCACTGACCAGAAACTCAAATAGAAACTCCACACGAACACAGTGCGTACAAGAGCAAGTCAGAGCATAGGAATGCTGTGGTAAGTAACTTAACCCGACTCCCCAAAGCCCATCATTTACAATGCACAATTCAAAAACACGATGGAATACTCATCACTTGCACGGATTGGTGCATGGTTTTGACTGCAGACAGTTGTACAGCATGGAAACAGACCCTTCGGACCAAGTCATCCATGCTGACCAGATATCCTAAGTTAACCTAGTCCCATATCTCTCTAAAACCTTCCTAGCCATATACACATTCAGATGCCTTTTTAAGTGCGCCTGCCACCACCACTTTCTCTGGCAGCTCATTCCATACACACACCATCCTCTGCACGAAAACGTTGCCCTTTAGGTCACTTCTATATCTTTCCCCTCTCACCTTAAACCTATGCCCTCTAGTTTTGGACACCACTCCTCTGGGGGAAAGACTTTGGCTATTCACCCTATGCTCCTCATGATTTTATAAATTTCTATAAGGTCACTCCTCCAGGGAAACACTTTGACACTCCAGGGAAAATAGCTCCAGCCTATTTAGGCCCTCCCTATTGCTCAAACCCTCTAATCCTTGTAAATCTTTTCTGAACCCCCTCAAGTTTCACAACATGCATCTTATAGCAGAGACCAGAACTGCGCACGGTATTCCAAAAGTGGCCTAACCAACGTTGTGCACAGCTGCAACACAACCTCCTAAACTCAATGCGCTGACCAATAACAAGATATGCAGCCCATTTGATAAGCATTACATCCACACTCTCCATCACTGATGCTTAGTACACACTACTGCTACAATATGCACTGCAGAAATTCAAAGATACTTAGACAACACCTTCCAAACCCAAGACTACTTCCACCTAGAAGGACAAGGGCAGGTACGTGGGAACACCACCATTTGCAAGATCCCTCTCCAAGCCACTCACCACCTAGACTTGGAAATATATTGCTGTTCCTTCACTGTTGTTGGGTCAAAATCCTGGAATTCCCTCACTATGGGCATTGTGGGTCTACTTCGAGCAAGTAGACTGCAATGGTTCAAGAAGGCAACTTGCCATCACCTGCTCAAGGGCAATTAGAGACAGACAATAAATGGCTGGCCAGCCAGTGATGCCCACACCGTTAGTGACCCCTTGATGGGCTGCACCATAATTTGAGTTATACTACAGACTGGGAAAACATTTGCAGTGAAGTCAGTATTATTTTAACAGTGCTTCTGCAAACACCCAATCGTCATTCCATCTTTCCTAAATGATCACACTCGCCATACCTACCTTCTTTCATCTCTCATTGTCCTACTACTTCCCTCCACCCATCATTGCACAATTTTCAGGCTGTACCCTCTCCCCTCCAAAGCTGTCCTCAGCTACTCTCTCCCATGGTACCTCTCTCCACTGCCTCTTTCTTTCTTCCTCAACTCATTTAGACTAATTTTTTTGAGCAACTAACATTTTCGAAACTGCCTCAGCTAAAGAAAGTATTTTTCAGAGGGGATAAAGAGAAAGAAACAACCTTGCTGTAAATGCGTAACGTTGCACAGGCTTTCCATTTAACCCCAATTCTTATTTTACAAGATATGTTGCAAATGCTTTATGCATATCACAAAATTCAAAAGGCAGCAAGGCCATAATCATACCAAGTTTATCTACAGCCCAGATCTGCAATTCCATTCATATTATTCTGTACCGTAAGGTTTCAATTTGAAAATCTAATATTTTTAAAAATTGAAACGAAAGACGACCAAAGATTGTTCTGGGTAAGCTTCAAAGGAAATTCTGTATCCAAGTATCAAACCTAATCTTACCAACAACCCTCCCAATCACATCAGCATGGTCAAGGTCAGAACACTGACATGCCTGCACATATTGACTGAATTGTTTCAAACTCTTAGCTTAATTGCAGAGCAGCTCAACAGTTTAAAATCAAAACAAGGTGATAAATGCATTGGTATGACAAGACAGAATACATGTATTTGCTGTTGCAGTAAAGTAAAAGGGATTAAGTCAGTAATGATGATTGTATTGAACAGGGGAAGTTCCACTCAGATGTATAGGAAAAGGTGTACTTAGTACTTGGAAAGATACAGCTGAATTGAGATGGCGGCAGTATCTGAACTCCCACAAATGGTTTAGTTACACAACCAAAATGGTCAAAAATGGTCCACACACACACCCAAGACCAGGCATTTGAGCAATACCAAAGCAAATAAAAACATTAAATAAACCCCAGCAACTGGCAACACCCCAAAGAGGGCAGAAGAGGTCAGCTGAAGTAAGAGGAAAAAAGAACAATGTAAAATAGTCTAGCCCATATCTGCTCATTCTCCCTAATCTGCAATGGATGAAGTTCAGGGCACACCCTCTACGCATCAAACCATCCAAATTAGAATGTCAGATAACAAGGTGTAGAGCTGGATGAACACAGCAGGCCAAGCAGCATCAGAGCAGGAAAGC